CCAACCCTGCTGTCCCTATTCAGATTTCCCCAAATGTATGGGTTTTTTCAAAGTTGAAACCAGCGGAGGTTGTTGTGTTCCTATAATTGCTTTTAGTCAGAATGGTCCCCCCAACTTTTTTACCCCATGATGCTGATCTTTTTAAGAAATTGGGCCAGTTTTCTCATTAAATGTCCCATGTTCTGCATTTGTCTGCTTGTTTCCTTGTGAGATGGTTTAACATGTTCCTGTGTATTTCTTATAAATTGGAAGTTAGGCCTAAAGACTTGTTGAGGTTTGGGTCAGAAAGCAGGGGGAAGACCTCATGGGTGAACACACTCATTGCCACGGCAGGAGGCCTGTGATGCCATTTCTGTGTCTCTGCTGATGAAGCTGGAGCTCCACTTGATTAAGGCGGTGACAGTGAGATCTCCACCCTAAACAGATTTTTGAGACAACCAAGGACATTGGAACATACACACAGTGCTAGGTAATATTAAGGAATAACTTATTTTATAAGGAGGGACAATGGTGTCATGACTGTGTAAGAAAATGTCATTTTTTAGACCTACACACAGAAGTGTCTAAGAGTTGGCAGACAGATGGAATGTTGAGGATACGTCTTAAGAAAACTGAGTAATAACTTTTAAAGGAAAAGCAATACATTAAGCTAGGATGTCAAATAGTTGATAATTTTTGAAACTGTGTGAGGAAACACAGTGGTTCTTCATACTATTCTTTCTACTTTTACATATAGTTTTAAAACTTCCATATTTTAAAAAAAGGGGGAAAAAAGGATGGATGAGATGGTGAAGTCAGACGTAGCCAAGCCCTGACTATGTGTTGGTACCTGGCTCAAGCCCAAATCCCAGGGATCACGGACTGGGACCTTGGTCACTGTCGAAAAATTTTCCTGCTCTTGCAGTGTAGCAACAAGTGCCAACACAGCCGGCTTCGTAAAACAGATCAGAGTATTCACACAATGTCCTTAAAGGGTGAAATACCTTCCGTCAATCTTAACTTTCTGGGATTCACTCACACTTGTGTGCCTTAGTAAAAGGTCACAGATTCTTTTCTAAAATGTCCAAGGGATGAAGTTTAACACAACAGCTGTTTCTAAAAGATAAATTTTGTTCTCTGTGAGATGGGGCCCTTCTTTTGGCACATTTCCAGTCCTGCCACAGTAGATGGTTCTGGGAGCCACACCAGTCTTTGTGTTGAAATGTGGTTGGTAGAACCCTATCCTGGCGTTGGAGGAAAACTCAATGAAAGAAACGGCACCCATGGGCTGCTTTCCAGGGCCTTCCAGGTTTCTCTAGGGAGACTATATACAACCCTCTTCAGAGCTGGTCTTGGGTAGCTTTAGGCCTTAGGGCACTTTACTTAGGAAAATTAAATGAGGTCTGGACAGCTCAGGTCATTGCTTCTGTGGCATTTTAGTTTACAAGGCATTTTATTTATCTATTTTGGTATCATTAATCTACAATTACATGAGGAACATTATGTTTACTAGATTCCCGTCATCACCAAGTCCCCCCCACCAACCCCACTATAATCACTGTCCATCAGCGTAGTAAGATGCTGTAGAATCACTACTTGTCTTCTCTGTGTTGCACAGCCCTCCCCATGCCCCCCCCACATTATACATGCTAATCATACTGCCCCCTTTCTTTTTCTACCCCCTTATCCCTCCCTTCCCACCCATCCTCCCCAGTCCCTTTCCCTTTGGTAACTGTTCGTCCATTCTTTTACAAGGCATTTTTATGTGTTTCTCAGCAATTCCCTCAGCCACCCTGCAGGACAAGCATCACTCTCAAGCCCATTTTACAGATAATATGATGGAGACCCTGAGAGGCTGAGACCTCTCAAGACCACACAGGAGTGGGTCCTGAAATCTTCTGACTCTCCATCATCTCTCTCACCTCGACCCCATGCTGAATTCGTGCCTACCCTTGCATACTTCATAATGGACCTAACAAGCCTAGGTAGGAAACTGTTCATCAAGAAGGTTTTCAGTACAGGAACAATTTAAAGAAGTCAAAATTTTTACTAGTAGGCTTTCCAGATGATCATCTTTGATTGATTACCCAGATGGTCATTCTTCAGGGATAAGTATATCTACAGGGCAGTTTTATTTGGGTCCCTCTACTTACACTCAACATTTAAACAACAGATATTTATTGACACCACTCTAAGCCAAGCCTGTGCTGGGAATTCTGAGATACCTCAGTCCTTTTCCCCTTGAGGGCTTCACATTCTACTGTGACTCCATATAATGTGCTGAGTGATCTGTCAAGATCTGTGGAAGCTGGACAGAGGTTTGAGCCAAGTACCCAGGTTATACAATCCTCCCAGTGAGTGAGAAAGGTTTCCTAAAGGAGGTGACATTTGAGCCGGGCCTTAAATGAGTAGTTTGTGACAGATTGAAAAGATGGAGTATTCTTTAAGGATTCAAGTTGAATAAACTCTTTCTCTTGACTTTCCATCTCACATATGTCAAGGATCTTCCTCAGACTTATTATTTCTAGAGAGTGGCTACTTACTGTACCCAAATTCCTCCCACATACCCAGCCCCCAACTGTCTGAAAGGTCTTATGGATGATCCGCGTTTAGTACAGCTAAAACAGATCTGTTTCTAATCAGTTAAGATTAATGACTAATGGCCCCGGACCCTATCAAGCAGTGCCCACAATTGGTTGGCCACAGCAAATGTCCCAAGCAAGCATATAATTGCTTTGGAATCAAACACCTCCCAGACTTGTTTGCATGTGGATCAGACTATCAAGGGTCTACACCTCCTACTACTTAACACAATCTAAGGTTCCCCGAGCAGAAAGGGTACCCTCCGAAAGAGCAACAGCAAACAGGACTCATGCATCTTGCAGAGAACTATCTGCTAGGTCAGGAAATCACTTTTACATTTAAATATTCAAAAAATCCACTTTGTAGTAAACCTTCTAGCCTTTGAGAAAGATCATAAATAATTGCCCCAGACTTGAGTCACTTTTCTAACTTAGAAGGCATTTCTCAAGTTCTTCTTGAAAATTTAGGAAATGGATTCCAAACTAAAAAAAGTGGAATTAACTCTAGATTTATCAGGAAAAAAATCTGTGTAAAGGCAAAATAAAAAGTAAGTGCATGCATGATTTCATCTGGAAATGAGATAAAAATTGAATACAGGGAAGTTAGCATCAACAAGGCTGGTCTTAATCTTGGCCACAAATCTGAAAGATTGAAGTGTGGTGGTAGAGCCCCCGAGAATCAAGAATGTTTCCAGAATCACCTCTAGAGTAGTCTGCGTGAAATAATTCATGTAGTCAGTGACCCATCATTTAAGGAGTCTTATATTACACAAACACTTACTGCAGAAATATTAGGAAATGCAAATAAGCGAAGGATGGGGAAAAAACCATCCATAATGCTGTGACCTAGCAGTAACACTATTAACACTTTGGTGAATATCCTTGCAGATTGTCTTCTATCAACAGCAATATTATATAAATTTATTCCACCACAAAAATCACATCATACCTCAGATACTATTTGGAAACCTGGCTCTCTTCATTTGATATCTAGAAGCTATCTTTCCATGTCAAGAAACCTTTTTGACTTATACCTCAACATTCCTAATGGCTGCTGACTTCTGTAGGTGTACCAAAATTCACCCATTCAACTATCATTAGCATTAATTTCCAGTTTTTTGCTATTAGAAAAATGCTGCAATGAACTCCCCTTTTGGCTAAATCTTTGTACCAACAGGCCGCTTCTACGGACTCTATTTTGGACCATGCATAGCATCTGGCCTTCAAAGAGGCCTCACTGCTAGAGGGGCCCCTCCTGCAACCACCAGGGATCAGAGTAACCGCAGTATAACCCCATTTGGAAGTATCCGATGTCCTGACTCTACTGTCTTATTTAGGACATCACAAAAATTGTTGTAAAAAGGAAGACAGTTTAGGTAAATCCTAGAACTCTTCCCAAATCTGTTTGTCATAAAGCTGAAAAGTAAACATTTTCCATTATTCATTAGCACCAAATTTGCAGAACCCACTGCCTTCAGGCTCCCTGTCTGGCAGAAGGAAGGTTTACTGTGGGAAAGGAAGCAGCGGACCTTGTAAAATAGAGGCTCTTTCAGTAATTGACACAAAACCTACAGCCAAGGCAAAGCAGACCCAGAGCAGTTAACAAATAACGTTCACTTCTTCCTATTTTATTTTTATTTTACATTCCCCCAGACTTTTTTCTTGTAACCTCCTTAAAATTTGGATTCACAGGACAGTCAATTTCAATCTTTTCATTAACGCAGTTATTGCCACTGCCCCACTGTGTATGGAACTGTGTGTCCTTAGGGTCTGAATATTTGGGAATGAGATTTCCATTTTCATGTTTTGATCCTTCTCCAGAGAAGCTGATTACAACATGTAATTAAGCATTTCCAGACTTCTAGGTAAGTTACAAGAATTCAGTCTTCTTTTCTCTAAATAGTTGTAGGAGATACTAGAGTGGAATCCTAAAAGGAGAATCCACATTCAAAAATCCTGCTTTAAAAGGACTATTACTTTGGATTTTGGAAGAGACCATCACTCAACTGGAATGGCTCCCATGGAATCCAGAGGTCCTCATTCTAAGGCGATTCTGTAATTCCTGAGACACTCTGAGCACCAAGTCCTATAAAACATCTCGATTGCTAGGTGATTGCGGCTGCAGAGTGCCTTCAAACAAGATCAGTTCTTAATGTGAAAGGCGCCTTTTGGAGACTTTCTAAGATTCAGGTTTACACTCAATTGATACTCAGTTCTGTTGGTGACTCAACACTTAACACATTCTCCTTGAAATCAACAGAAACATTTTAGTAAATTGTGTTCTTGGATTTCCCCTGAAGCCAGTCTGACAAAAATCTGTGTGGAGATTAGTTCTCATGCCCTTTAAAAAATTGTATTAAGTCTACTAAGAACTGTCAGAATGAGTCAACTGAGGTAAGACCTTGTTGGGTGCTGAGACAGACATTAAAACAGTGGTACCATGATTAAATAAGTCTTTATTGTCACATTTAACTGCTTTGTCAGATATACATTGTAGGCTTCAGTATGGCATAAAAATAAAAGTATTTTCCTGAACGTCAGAATCTGAACAGAGGAGGTGGCAATGGCACTTAAAAGAACAAACAAACAAATTCACACTGGTGCTGAAGCTGCTAGAGGGTAACTGATAGGAACTGGAAAACATTTGCAGATAAAGTGGTCTGCAACATTTCAAATCAAATGGCAGTGGTGTAAGGCCAACAAAATCAGGAGAATATTAAAATACAGAGCCCATGGAGTAGATATCTGAAGAATGGCAGTTTCAGCATTTCATTTTTCAGTCCACATTGTTGTTTAATTTAGAGTGCATCTGGAGCTCAGTGAGTTAACTTCTCGCCTACACAATGAATCTACTTTTCAGAACCTGGGTTTTAAGTCTCTTTAACAACTTGCTTATTCTTACAGATATTAACTAGTCCAAAGGAAAGGCAGTTATATTCCACAGCATTATCATCATGGGCTGACCTCATCACAAATGCTGGGTCTTGTCGTTTTCACACCAGGAACCTAACATGCTAGCAACATCTTCAGTGGTTTCAAATTCTGGGCAAAACTAGAAAACAAGCAGTAATTAAATAACAATGTAAGTGCATCTCAACAGACAGTCTACACACATCCCACAACTATTCTCCAGATGGCAACTTAAAAAAAAAAAAGTATGGTTATTGAGATTCAAAATGAAACTTTATTCACCATGATACCTGAACAGCTTATTAAATGTCTTTCCTCCACAAATAAAACTAACACTAGGATTTGTCAGAAGATCTAAATGAGTTTTATCCTTTATGTACGCAATTAGCTAAATCCACTGTGTCTGGAATCTGTTCATTATTAAACTCATGTCTGGAACAGAATTCCTTTCGGCTGTGTGTCCTTCACTTAAGACTTCACTTAAGGCCATACATGTGGCCACTGCAACAGAGAAGTCACTGTAATTCCCGGGAAGAAAAATCAGTACTTTATTTTATGATATACTTATTTGGATGATTATTTACTGGTAATTAGTATTTCTACATTTTTTTTTTAAAGGCAACCATTTTAAGTGACAATACATATCAGGCTAGTAGAAAAAAGTTGAAAGAAAGCCCTCTCTTTTGATCTCACAAAGTCATGCAGACAAGAGAAGGTACATCCAATTTGTTCCAATCAGGCTTCTTGAAATTATCAAAATTTCTTTTCTGGCAAAGATGAATTTGGCTCACCATAGAAAGAAGGTTCTTTGAAAGCTGCTGCTAAACTCATTTCCCTTTGAAAAAGTAAATTTCAAGGCATGATAGTGCAAGAGGTAAGGTTTTGATTTACAGAACATTTATAGACTAATTGTGCTTAGTCTCTAATTTTCAATTTATTTTAAATAACAGAAACTATAATAAGTTTCACTTTGCCTAAATTTACCAGTACATCCATGAATCGCACCAGAATTAGGACAATTTGATTATCTTAATGATTCTGTCCTGAAACCTGCACGCTGGGTCCACAGGTGAGGACCTGCGGATTTGAGGCTCCTATAAGTTCTGGGCCCAAGGACTCCCCTCTTGGGAGTCCATGGGTCTGAGAAAGCAGTTCTTCCCCCAGATTAAGTCCTCAAAAAACTCTCTCAATAAGCGATTAAGAAAAACAGTGCTAAGTGGAGAGTTTCTTTGTTTAGCTAAATCTGGGAGGTCTGAGTGTTCCTGGAGCCCCCGTCAGGATGTGGCATGAGTCGAGAATTCCTCGAATGTGAGTACTGGCTATTAGAGGGCTCTGTAGGGTCAATCAAGTTTTCATAATCACTGTCGTCTGATTCCTCAACACTGTCTCCAGCTGCTCTTTGGGAAGGAGGAAGGTCTGTTCCACTTCCAGGATACTTCAGTCCGGCACTGGTGGAAGCAAAACTGGAAGAACCCACGGCTTGAGGTCGAGGCATAAAGACGCTCGTGTCCATGCGAGAATGGCTCAAGGCACTCTCTTGATTGTTTGGGTGAAAATCAGAATAAGGGGGAGGAGGATCAGAGGCCTCTACATCTCCAAGTGTACTTCTACCTTCCACTGCAAACTCAGAGCAGGGCCCCCGAGGGGTGCATACTGGTTCCACACTTTCAGAGGGCGTCTGTCTGCTTATCATCGCCTGCTGCAACCCTGGGTGAAAATAGGAAGAAAACCAGTTACACATTCTGTATTTTCATTTTCTATCTTTGCATCTCAATGCATAAAACAGTCAAGCTGAATGTCTGGAAAATAGCAACAAAGCAGTGAAATTGATTATTACTATAAATTGCATTAGCATAGTACTTTATAATCTATAAAATATTTTGTTATTCATTAAGTTCACATAAGTCTCAGAACAACCTTCGAAAGTATTATTGTCATCATTATCTGTATTACTCTTTCCACTATATAGGCAAAGAAACCAGAGTTCAGAAAGATTAAGTAAACTAATCAGGAAAATGCAAACCAAGACAATGCGGTATTACCTCACACCAGTCAGAATGGCTAGTAGCAACAAGACAAGAAATACCAAGTGTTGGTGAGGATGTGGAGAAAATGGAACCCTACAGCACTGCTGGTGAGGTTGCAAATGGGTGCAGCTATGGTGGAAAGCAGTATAGAGGTTTCTATTTCTCAAAAAACTAAAAATATAAATACCATATGACCCAGAAATTCCACTCCTGGGAATCTACCAAAGAAAACAAAATCATTAATTCAGAAAGATATATGCAACCCTATGTTTACTGCAACATTATTTACAGTAGCCAAGATACGGAAGCAACCAAATGTCTCTTGATAGAAGAACGGATGAAGAAGATGTGGTACATATATACAATAATTCAGCCATAAAAAAGAAAGAAATCTTGTCATTTGCAACAACATGGATGGACCTAGGGGGTATTATGCTAAATAAAGTAAGTTAGAGAAAGATGAATACCATATGGTTTCACTTCTATGCGGGATCTGAGAAACAAAAACAAATGAACAGACAAAACAGAAACGGAATCATAAACAGAGAGAATGGATGGCTGGTTACCATGGCAGGGGAAACAGTGAAATGGGTGGAGGAGATAGAGGTGCAAATTTCAAATTATAAAATAATGTATCACAGAGATGGAAATACAGCATAGGGAATATAGCTCATAATACTCTATGGTGACAGATGGTAACTACACTAATCATGGTAAGCCTTTAGAACTGATAAATCCCTAAGTTGTTCACCTGAATCCAATATAATATTGTATATAAACAATATTCCAATTTTAGAAAAAGGAAAAAAGAAAAAGAAAGGCCAAATGGCTTTACTAAAGGAACAGCAAGAAGTGAGGGCCCCGTTTCTCAAAAACCTGGGCCTGAACCCTCTGCTATTTCCCTCATCTACTGCTCACTGCGCTCCAAGACTAGAGTGAGAGCAGAAGCTAACGTTCTTTGTCACTGTGTGCAGTGATCTGAATTCGAGTTTTTTCTTCGACAGGCTTCACGTATCAAAAAGCATTTTTCTTCACATGTCTGGTCAAAATACACTTACACACCTCTTTCCTCTTAAAAGTTTAAATGCCCTATGTTAGGTGGCCAGTTTGTCAGGTACTGGCCATAAATCACCACATCTGTATGAATGCTCGGGAACAGCCCCGTATTTATGAGCCTACAACCTTTATAACACTTTAAGTACTTCATTTATATTATAAAAATGACACATATGGATATGAAACTTAGAAAACTAAGGAAATGAAAATCACATGCAATTCTGTCACGCAGATAACACTTAGAACATTAGTGAAAAGAGCACAAGATTTGGGGTTAAAGATGCAAATTTTAGGGGTCAGGCCCCCTACTTTTCTGAACTCCGGTTTTATTACCGAGTTTTGTGTATGTGTGGTATGTATCTTAAATAAAGCTGAGATCATATGTTTACATTTTATATCCTAGTGTTTTCACTTAAGATATGTATTGGGCACAATCCTATGTCATCAAAAATTCACTTCAGTGGCTGTACACTTCTGTGCATGCATCTCTGTCTGCATTTCTGATTATTTCTAATAAAACATGACAGTAGAAATGAGTCAAACATAGACATCATTTACCTGGAAATATAAATTACCTTTTAATTGGTTTGCAGGTATTCTTATTAAATTAGAAAAGGTTAGCCATACTGTTTTATACTTGATATTGTTTGTCATATATTTTATTTACAAATGTTAAATCTGGTGACATTATAGCAAACCTGTATGTTACGATGCTGGCATTAGTAATTATTAGGCCTAATTCTCTTTCAACCAGCTGGTTCCTTAGCTCAATGGTATCCATTCATCCACAACTACTAAAAAATAGACATTTAAAGCCTTTGTTGTGACCCTGGCTATGAATCAAACATAAAGTTAAAAGGATTTTAGGTAACTCTTTTACTTGCTACAATGAACACAGGACAGAGTCTCTACTTGCTAGGCATGCTAGGGTTAACTTACTAACAAACATCACATCCCCTGTAAACATATCCCATTAGTCAATATATACACAAGTGTCAATGACTTGCTGGGATTTATTCTAACTTGCTTCAGCCTTTCTGCCTTTGTCTTCTTTCTTCTCCAGTTTTGGAGATGTGAGAAAGATACCATGAAATACAGTCCCTCTCTTCTGGAAAGCTTGAAGACAAGGTGACTGCCCCCTCCCAGGAGCCTGACTTGGAGCTCAATGAGTGTAATTTATTGTATAATCTGATGTTGGGAACCAGGCATCTCCCTGTTAGTGAATGGGTAGTGAATTACACAATTAATAGGAAACTCACTTCTTTCTTGTTCCTTTTCATTTTTCCTCTGAGTGATCTGTCTTCTTAATTTGTTCACTTCTGCCTGACAGGATTCAACAACTCGCTCACTCTTTTCTACATCTGCACACACTGCCTGAGGGAAAAATGACAACAAGAACAATTAGTTTCAAACTAAGCACCAGGTATTCCATAAAGTCAGCACTGATCACAACCTTAGGAAGAGCCCAGATGCATTATCAAGTTAAAAATTGGGCACCTCAGGTAGAATAAAATCATGAAGGTCAAAGAGAACAGCATTTGTTGTTATTCACTGACTTGCTTTCTTCATTTAGAGTTATGCTATTGAGCTCATAAATTCCTGAGATATAACGGTAGGATGGGATGAGTAAGAAGAAAGAACTGAAAACAGAACTTCTGATAACAGCCTAGCATACAAAGGATGAACAAAAGACAAGAATGAGATACTTTTAACTTTTATTTATAACCAACAATCAAAAATTAGAAAACACAGACTTATTTAATAGAAAATATTTATAATTAGGAAGGGTTGAAAAGAAACTAGGCTTCAATGTGAGGCTTTAATAAAAGAAATGACCATTTGTGAGACTACATCTCTGCAGCTGCACCAGTCGTGTCAGAGTGGCACGTGACACTGGGGTTTGCAGCAGGCCGTATTCAGTCAGCAATGAAATGCAGAACAGTCCCTTTGAAGTCTGCGGGACAGTGCGGCTGGTCTTGAAAGAGCACGATCATGAATTCAGGACAAAAAGCTGTTTTTTCCCTGCACGTTCCTTCCATAGCAGACATACCAGAAACCTCCGAAAAGTGGGCCAGTCCCCAGTGCGCCTGTCTAAGGTCCCTGCACTGCTAGGTGCACTGTGACCCCAATTCGGAATACTAACGCTGGAAATCGCCCGTTGCATGCTCTCCTCTTTTGCGGCAGGCGGAACTCAGTCTGTCCTTTGTCTCGGTAGCTGCCTTCATTCCTTTCTCTCGTCCTTGGAGTCTTCTTCCTCAAAGCGAGGCTTTCTCCAGGCCTGCAAGAGCCTCTTCAGCTATACCACTTTCCTTTTTGTGCTCAAAGCCTCTTTTGTTCTGAGGATTTTAGAGCAAATTGCTCCTAAGAACACATGGGGCATGATGAAAAGGACGTGGGAAAGTACTGTTAGCACCTAGCTCAGTATCTGGCTTGCAGGAGATGCTTCCACAAACATTTGTTGCATGAATGACTAGCAATGAACAGGCTCCACTGCAAATCTCCCACTCAATGCGGGCAGCTGGGGGCAAAGGGGGTGAACTACAAGGAAGGAAGCAGAGCTGAACTGTGCTACAGGTGCCTTTAGATGCAGTCTCTACTTAGAGTAACTAAGAGAGACAGCTGTGTTCTTATCATCCTTCAAACTAAGACCTTTCCCTAGGAAAAACATTGTTACAAATGGGATCACAAGTACTTAAAATAGTAACGTAATAGTGTAGTTCACAGTCTCTACTGCAGGCACAAAATGCGAGGCTTCTTAGGCTGGCATGCCACATCTGGTATTATTTTGGGAAAGCACATTCTGACTTTTGGACCACAATTATTTGTCAGTTGGGAGATTGTTAAAAATTAAAGTGGAATTTGAAAAGATACATGTACTCCTATGTTTATCGCTGCATTATTTACAACAGCTGAGTTATGAAGCAACCAAAGTGCCTATCAGTAGATGAATGGATAAAGAAGATGTGGTACAGATACACAATGGGATTATTATTCAGCCATAAAAAAACCATCTGTGACAACATGGATGGACCTACAGGGTATTATGCTAAGTGAAATAAGCTAGGCGAAGAAAGACAAAAAAATCCGTATTTCATTTATATGCAGAATCTAAAAATACATTAACAAATGAACAAAATAGATACAGACTCACAGACACCGAGAAGGGACTGATGGTTGCCATGGAGAAGGGTGGGAATGGGCAGGTAAAACAGGTGAAGGTGATAAAGAGGCACAAAAATCTCAGTCATAATATAAATTAGTCATGAGAATGAAAGTACAGCATGGAGAATATAGTCAATAATTCTATAACATCATTCTATGTTGATAGACAGTAATTTCATTAGTTGGGGGTGAACATTTAATAATGCAGTTAACTGTCAAATGACTATAAAAAGAAGCACGTGAGCAATATAAGTAAGATGAAAACTAGTAAGTAAATGTTACCTGTACTTTCTCCTGAAGTGCATTATAAACCTGATAAATTGCCCTGATGTCTTTCATTACTCCATCCTTGTCAAAAAAGTCAGTACTAGAAGAAAGACGGACAAAAGATTCACAAAGTTATTATAACTGCTATGAACCTAAAAGGCATTTTCCTATCTATCACTTCTACCTAAATCTACTACTTAAATGCTGCAACTCTAGGGTGGCAATGTCTCAGGATTATGCCCACACCAGAAGAACACAAGAGAAACCCATGTTACTAAGACATTTTAAAAAATAATAAAAAGCTATTACCTTTTTCAGTGACCACAGTTAGCTTTTACAACCTCAGAAATACACATATTCTATCCCAACTTTTATAACAATAGCAAAAACAAAAAAACCAACAAAACCCCGTGGCAAGTGTTTAAAAAAATAAGCATTAGTAAAAGCAAACTATCTTTTTTTTTAATGTTCTACATTCTTTTAATTTGTAATACATATAGCAATGGCACCCTGCTGATAAACAGAATGCTCAAAGTCATGTCCTCCAGAAATTTGGTTTACCCCTAGATTTAAGTTAAGTGAAACTGTTCAGTTTCTATATCCCCTTAGAATTAAAAATCATAATGGCAGGGCGCCTTGATTCCTTTTATCAGGATAGTGTAACTATATTGTACAAAATAAGTATGTCAAGGTTGGCATACAATGTTGTCATGTTCAGTATTATTTATTTATTTATTTATTTATTATTTTTATTTTGGTATCATTAATCTACAGTTACATGAAGAACATTATGTTTACTAGTCTCCCCCTTCACCAAGTCCCCCCTACGTACCCCTTCACAGTCACTGTCCATCTGCATAGTAAGATGCTGTAAAATCACTACTTGTCTTCTCTGTGGCAAACTATCTTTTCCCTAAGCATGACGCTTTGATGTACAGCAGTAGTGGTCTGGGGAATTACCTGACTGCATTTTTCAATTTCAGTGATATTAAACTTGATTTCACATTTCTCCATAAACCTTTAAATACTGTTAACAAAAGAAAGGAAAAAGTGTTCATTTTAGTTGCAACTTACCCATGTTCTTTAATAACTTTGGCATAACTCTGAGAAGTATTTGGCACTGAAGACACTTTATACTCTTGCTGGCTAGTATTGCCTAGATTGGGAATAGCAAGGGATATCCTCTGATTGTACCTGTGGGGAGGATTGGGAGAGATCATGTTAAAAGCACTGCTCTACTTGGAGAATAGGTCTTGCCAGTAGGAATCTGTGTCTGTACTGGTGAACTAATAAGAGGCCTCCTAGAACACCTACTCCCACAAACAACCTACTTCACAGATGCATGAATTAGCAATTTTTCCCCTTCCCTTAAAGTAGAAACTCAACTGTAAACTACTTAAGGGCAGAGGTCATGCCATACATCTTTTGCATCCCCAAAGAAACTGACTGAGTGCTGAGGAGGTTGCCAGCAAAAAATACCTGATTAATTAATGAAATCTTACACATGGCTCTTTAACAATTAATAATAATTTTCATTGATGTTGATCTAATTTATTCTACAAGTGAATTTCCAGAGAGAAACTTTCTGTTTACAAAAAGACACCAGGATCATGTGATCTTTTTTTTTTTCTCGCTTCAACAAGTTCACAATGCAAAACCCTCATTACCCAGTAGGTGGATCAATTTTTTAATTTTGTTTTTGAAATCTGTTTTAAAATTATAATCAGATTTTCAGAGCAATTAAAACTATATTTCTACAGAAGAGATTACAGAGAAGCAAATGATGAATTCCAGCTGTTTATTCCTGTAAGAATTTATGCATAATTAACATGTCTTGCTAATGCTTCTTGGTTCAATAATAATTTTAATTTATACAGCTAACTGATGGGAAAACACCTCTAACTACAAAGAAAACTAGTTAAAATTATAAAAGCTTTTCTTTAAAGATGCTATAAAATGCACATTTTCAAAATCATAAATCTCAATTCCTTGTACCAACGTCTTTCCTGTTTTTGTGAGGCTGGTGGGAATGCTTTCTTTACCTTCGGTTTGGTCTAAAGAGGACGTATTCTAGAGCATGAGTGGAACTGTTGGCAGTGGAGATGAAGCTGAAGAGAAGGAAGACAAGGTCGGGCACTCCAAGGATGCGGGTGAGCTGCTTGTGGATGACCTGCTCCCTGTACGACATTTGCTGCTGCGTGTTTCGCCGGAATCTGTACCACCCAATAACTTTCTGTAACAAGAACGGAGGAAAAAAATATTGAAAGTTGCATGAAATCTTATAAACTTAATTCTGAATTTATCCACACAAATACTTCTACACAAAAGTTCATAGTAGTTTTATGTGCAATCACTCAAAACTGAAAACAATCCAATTGTCCATCAACAGGTGAATGGGTAAACAAACTGTGGTCTATCCACACACAGAAATCCTACTCAATAAAGAAAAAAGGAACAGACTACTTATATATACAACACCACAGCTTAATTCCAAATTAATTATGCTAAGTGAAAGAAGCCAGCCAGAAAAAAAAAAAGAGTGTATGTGAGAGGATTCTATTCATATAAAATTCCAGAAAATGAAAACTAATCTATAGTGGCATAAAGTAGATCACTGGTTGACTAGGGAGAGGGGTGAGAAGAAGAGATTAGAAAAGGGCACGAGGAGCCCTTTGCCGTGATCGCTGTTTGCTGTCTTACTGTGATGATGGTTTCGTGTTTGTATACATACATCAAAACTTTGATCAAAGTGTGCACTCCAAGTATGTGCAGTTCACTGTATGTCAACTATACCTCAATACAACAATTTAAAAAGTTTAGCTCTGTCAGCTCTAACTACAGGATAACTAAACTGGCTAAGTGAATAAACTGAATGCTCTCTGGAAGAATATTCCTCATAAGGGGACCTGCTGGACATCTGGGAGCTGGATGACCTAAGGGACATCTGGGAGCTTGCTAAAATACTCCTGGGCCCATCCAAACCCACAGAATCAGAACCTCTAAGGGTAGAGCCAGGAATCTGAATTTAGGATAAATTGAGTTTTTTCTTGTGCATGCTAGAGTTTGAAAACTTCTGTTGAGATTATTTATTTAGAAGAATAATCTTCATATAAATAGCCTCTTTTTTGAAACAAACTCTTTGAGTGAAAATCCTGTTTGAAGAAACAAAGGTCATTAAAAATTGTTAGTGTGATATTAAAATTAACAGTAAATTTAGATTATGTTTTGGCGCTTTCACATAGGAAGGAAGTGAACCAACCTTCGCTGATGCCCTGTGGTGGGTGCCAATGAGCTATGTTACAAATATTTTCAACCCTGAGAGGTGAGTAATACTTTCTCCATTGAGTTCATATCACATGCAGGCACTACAGGGACAAAGAAATAGTTCTTGCCCTCAAGGAGTACTACTGAACATAACGCATAACTTCCAATTACATTAATTAACTCTGATAGTCTTTAAGTAAAAAGAAAACCCAAACACTTCTTAGAGTTTAAATCTTATGAAAGAAATGTTTTTGTCCAAAGTCACAGAACTAATGAGTAACGGCCAAGACCCAGAACCTACTGGTCCATCTTTTTCCACTGTGCAACATTAACTTTAAAATTCCACATTAGTTATACTATGGTTTTCATAAAAATGTGAAAATTATTTTTCTTTTAAAAAAAAATAGTGGGTAAGAAAAACTATCAAATGGCTATAGGTATCAATGTCTAAGAACAGGGATATTTCACTATAAATCTCAGTACTGTGTAGACCTGGGGTGCATCTCATGCTCCCTTTGTATCCCTGGCAAAGATCTGAGCAGCCCTCAGCATGTTGGCAGGTCTCATGAAATACTCACTGATTAACAGAATCTTGCAAGTGGCTACTAGATAAGTAATAATACTTTTTCATTTGTGCAGATTCCAGTTGTTTTACTCTATTTGTATTTTCTGAGAAGCAGGGAGCCTTATAAATTTATTTTGGGTATTAATTGGTAGTAATCAACTTTTCACTGGATATTTGCTAAAAAGATGCCCCCATCATGCTGACCAATGAAATATGAGGTGACAAATTAATTCACACTGTTGACCTCTACGATTCTACCTTTCAGAGCTAGCAAGCTAGTTGCAAAGCTACTGAGAAATTAGGTCACTGTTGCTGAAAAGCACACTTCTGATAGCTATGTTTTGGCCATGATGAAAAATTATGGATATCTTTCCCTAAAACCTTATCTCTGCTGAAGTTTCACAATTTTTCATGAAGACTTTCCTATCTCTATGCTCAACATTCACTTGCATTTTCTGGCACCAAAGCAATTATCCCCAACAATGGGCACGTTTGTCATCTTTAGGTTGTGTTCTTTTCCGTCTTATTATGATATTAAGATGGCAGTTGTGTTTATCATTATCTATTTCAGAGCAGATGCTTCCAGAAGGCAGAAATCCTCCTCTCACTTGCTTTTTTGGCCTTAACCCAAAACCTGAGGCTGTGGAAACTTTGTAAGCACAATATGGATTCTGCCGGAGCAGTAATTCAGCATGTGACCACATTCCACATACTGGGGGATTTTCATATCAAAAACATTAGCCTCTATCTTAAGCCTAACTTTTTTTAAAAAAATGTTTTAGCAATGTTATAGAGTTTCTATATTTTGAGAACCACACATTTTTTTAGTAAGCAAATTTCTAATATATTTGTTGCTATTGTGACAAAAATCTTGATTAGTTTGTTTTCAAATGGGTAATTCTAGGACTCAGAAAACTTTAAAAATCACTGTGTATCAGAGAAGACAAGTAGTGATTCTATAGCATCTTACTATGTTGATGGACAGTGACTGTAATGGGGTATGTGGTGGGGATCTGATAATGGAGGAAGTCTAGTAACCATAATGTTGCTCATGTAATTGTACATTAATGATACCAAAAAAAATCACTGTATATTATTTTTTATGAGTTGGACTTACTAACTTTTGTTCAATTCTTAGAACTTTTCAACAAAATATTAGATTTGAAGCCAAGCAAAGAGTCAATTTTTAAGAAGTTTCCATCAGCACTTTATCTTAAAGAGTTGACATTAATTAAAATTATTTTCTATGTTAGGTACTGTTTAAAGTACGTATGTATTTTTAAGTCTCACATTTTAAATGTACCTTTGCTACTAGTATAAAAACCATTTGAGGTGAAGATACAAATTTTGTACCTTTTGTAGGGAAAAAAACTCAAACTTGAATGAACTACAAAGCTTTTAAGTAGTCTAGATTTTATATGTCATCTTTGTTTTTGTGCTGAAAATTCGGATTTTTCAAAGAATCCTTAAAAGAGTTTATATTATGTATAAGGTGCCAAAGGACATACAATAAAATATAAAATATAGTTTTTGTCCTTAACAAATACAATGATGAATACAACATAATTTCCAAGTAAACTGAAGCAACAAACATCTTTAATTATAAAGGGAAACATATTTTGATCTAGCAATAAGTTCTGTAATACCCAAACTGCAGATCAACTTTTGACTTTTTCGAGAATCTTGGTTCCAGGAAAAGCAAAGTTAACTCCAGAATAGCAAACTATGATTTGTCGGCTGCAGCTCAGAACAGCAAATTCAACCTTAAAATCCCCAAATTAATTTGGAAATGTGTCCCTATCAACTATTGAGAAAACTACATAGTAGAATCCTTTTCTTTTTTTCAATTGATTTGCAATTATAAAATACAGGTTAGAAAAAAAAAAAACCTATCACACCGCCTCTCCAGCAGCAGCATTCTCCCGCTGCCTTTCCCAGAGGAAACAATGTTAAGTTTGGTTGGTCTCCTTCCAGATCTTTTTCTGTACATTTAAACAGTCAGATTTGTATTTTTACATAAGAGAGGCTCAAATTATGAACCCACTGTCTTCGCTTAACATGACCTTGAGCTCTTCCATTTCCTTACCTGAACTTTTCCCTCATTCTTTCTAACAGCTGCTTTACACCCACCACACAGATCCCCAACAAAATACCTTCACCATCCCCGGCTGCTGGACATGCAGAGTGCCTTCCCAATTCTCACTGCTAAGCAAAGATACAACAATCATCTCTGTGACTGGACTGAGGGGTCAGACTGCTGTGTGGAAACCTTAGCTCCACTATTAGTCACTGGCGACCTTAAGCAAGTTTCTTATTATCAGTTACCTCAACTGTAAAATGGAGGTAACCCAACAGTAATTTACTTCCCAGGGCTGTTGCAAGGATGAAATGTGTGAAATACCTGGAAAGTGCTTAGAACACATCCTGGCACATTCAATAATGCTGGCTTTTCATATCTTTGTATCTAGATGCAATTATTTACCTGGGACAGATTGCTAAAGGTGGAACCACATACTTAAAAGTTCTGGTATTGCAAACTCTCCTCCTAAATGTCTGTATCACCCACCAACTAGCTCCCCCATTTCCTGCAGTCTTGCCAACATTGGTTATTAGCAATCCTACTACGCTTTTGTCAATCTGATGGGCAAAAGAATAGTACCACGCTGTTACGGTTTGCATTTCCTGATTGAAGATAAACATCTTCTCACTTACTTCTTGGTCATTTGTGGATTTCTTTTGTGAATTTTTTGTTTATATTCATTACTCATTTTTCTCGCCTTAAAATTCTTCTTCTCATGTATTTTTAAGAAATACTTCCTGGTGCTTTTAATATGTAGTTAGAGTGCTAGAAAACTGCTTCAGTAAGAATTTTCATGGAACGAATTTTAGTTTTAGAAAGTATAATAAAAGCTCATTATCTAAAACATGAAAATAAATGAAATGAGGAGTTCAGGTGGTGGCTGGGAGAGGAAGGATGGACTCCTAGGATCGCAGAATGTGCATTCTGGAGCAAGTCACTGAAAATGAGGGAGCTGGGCCACAGCGCCTGGGGCTGCTCTCCCTCCCTTTCCCAGACGGGCAAGCAAGCAACTGGGCTAGATTCTGCCGATACTCAGCACCCTGAACTTGCTGTCATCCACAAAGTCATGTGTCCTTTCTTCCACCTTACCTCCACACTTCCCATTCTTCTTTTTATCTTACTGCTTTTCTTTCTGCCTTACACCTGACATTGGTACTGAGGCACCCATACATGGGAAAGGCCGTACATCTACCCTAACTGCACTCTACTGATGGCCATCTTCAGACAGGTGCGCACTGCCATGATTACTGTTAGCCAAAGGTAATCTTTTAGAAGCTTTTTTATAATACATGCTTCGAAATGAAGGCATTTTGTGGTCTCTTTGACAAGTCAAAAACTTGTGCTGGTCCTTTTTTCCTCAAGTGATGGTTTAATAACAATTTATTTTTCTGGAATTAATCATTGAAGGTAAAAAGTAAAACCCACACGTGGTACGACAAAGAAAGTTATAAATGAGACCATCGGACAATACCGCAGGTAAAAACCTTGGTTCATTTCAATTCTATTCAGACTTGCTTACCATACATATTCAGAACATCACATGCATACACTGACAGAAATAATAAACACATGATCTTTTGGGAAAGCATCCATGTTCAATGTTAACTGAATTTGAAAGAGTAACATATCAAAAGGTATTTTATTGTAATTTACTTTTAGAAATATTTTTCTTGATTATAAAATTAATGCATGTATATAAAATATTTGCAGAATAATTTTTTAAATTACAAAACTGAAAGACAGAACCACCCCAAATCAACTCAACTATTGTTAACTTCCTGAATTTTAGTTCATTTTTTTTCTTCTGATTTTTACATAATGGAATCATACTATATCTAAATTTTTTTCTATTGATATTTTGTGAACATTGTCTCACAGCTGCAATTTAGCTTAAAATCTACTTGAGTAAACAGAAGTGTCATACATTAACATCAAATCACATTGTTTCATTTTACATTCTTTTCTGGTTTTAAGTTTGGGTGAAAGATGAGGAGCAATTTCCAAATCAAACTTGGCAGCAATTAGAACATACCTTTCTCCGATCTTTAAGAATCCTGTCCAAACTCTCTTCGTTAACTTTGCTTGCATAGTCATAAAAACTGTTTTTTGTTTTAAAGAGAAATAAATTTTATTAAAATTACATGGTATTGTGACATGAATTTGCTTAGCTACATATGTCTATGGGTCATCTAATCCTAAAAGCTATAATTGCTTGCCTTCAATAGGATTATATAAGGAAAAATCAATCTAAATGCTTTATTGATGGAAGGTATCCTTTGTATCAGAGAATACTCAAGAGACTGCTACATTCAAACGATATTATTTCTACATGCGGAAGGTGCTGATAGCAAGTAATTACAAAACGTGTGGTGTCAAATGGCTGTGACATCTTTTCCTTGTTTCTAAGTATCAATTACTTATCAAAAAAAGAACACAGGAGCTCATTTTCTAAGAAATGAAGATTTGTTGAATGCTTAAAAGATACTCAGCTGCATGCACTCTCATGTTATGTCACCCCATTCTTGCCTTAATGCTAGAAGGTAAGTAGTAATTCAACCCAACAAGTCAATAAGTTTTATTCCCATTTTTGCAGATAAAGATACTGAGGTTAAGTGACGTGCCCCATATCAAATGCACTCACCACTAAAACAGACCAATGTGATGAGGATCCTGCAGCGAACAGGCCAGGCATAATACTGTGTGGGCTTTTCTACCACTGGTCATGATTTTATGAATGTCACCCTTTCCCCCCTCCTCCTAAGACCATAAGCCCAGGCCTTAAAAAGGTAGGAAGGAGTTCAAGATAGAGAAAAAAACATGGAATCGGGAGTCAGGAGATAGCAGCTCCAGCTGTTTTGCTTCTCACTGTGTGACCTAAGGCAAGTTCTTTAGCCTACGTGGTCTCCAATTTCTCTTTTTTTGCAAAATATAGTTTGGAGTAGACAGATGATTTCTAAGGTTTCTTTCAGCTCTAAGAATTCCAAGTCTATGATTAAAACTTTAGCTAAATTCTTGTAAGGAATTCCTCAAAAGGGCAAGGCCGGGCACCTAGCAAAACTTTGGACAGTCAGAGCCAAACTGGACATTTCCATGGACCAGACAGAAGCACTGTGTGGCCCCGGGCACGCATCATTTCATTTGTTCTAAGATCCCTCTCAAATGAACTGCTGGTTATTCACCTTGCTTCCCACTCCTCTTTGAGTTTTGTGTAAATCTAAATGAGAGAAGGTTCTCAGCTGCTGTGAGGCTTCGTTCAGAGGTAGCCATCTTGCATGACAATCCTTTGAAACAATCAAAGGGTAGGTGGGGGGCGCCAGAACCCAGAGATGCAGAAGGGACTCCAACAAGTTTTACCCCATCAAGATGCAGACTGCCTGCCCCCTCCACATGGGTTTGGGTTTGGGCACTGAGCATGATACAAGTTCCCAGGAGTTCTTGGATGCCAGGGGGTTGGGTGTTTGGGCGAGCCAAGAATGGAGAGGGGTCAGGGTGAAAGCTGCAGAGAACACACAGCAGGAGCAGCCAGGCACAGAGGGTTGGCAGGTGTTAGAGGAAGAAGTGAAGACCAGTGAATTGTACTAGTACAGGCAGCCCTGGAAGGAAAGTATTGGCTTGGCTTCTGGGAAAGTAGAAGAATAGGGCCTCAGGGAGTTTTAAGAAACAGAGTTGAAATCATCGTAACAGCCATCAGAGAGAAGAGTTTGGGGCTGAGAAAGAAGACAAAGGCTTGGGTGGTACTTAGGGAGCAGAAATTTGGTGTGTGGGAGATCCTGGCCTTTTTCTCCCTCACCCTTCTGCCTCCACATGTCTCTTTGTCATTTCCTTTCTCCCTCCCTTTTTTGTTGTTGAAGTATAGCTGATATGCAATACTATTGGTTTTGGGTGTTCAACATAGTGATTTGGGAATTACATACATTACAAAATGCTTACCACAATAAGTATAGTTACCATCTGTCACCATACAAAGACACTAGAAAATTATTGACTATATCCCCTGTACATTTCATGACTTCCTCATGACTTAATTTATTTTATAATTGGAAGTTTGCTTTTTCTCTTTGAAGTCTCTCTTTCCATTTCTTTTATTGGTCATAACAAGCAATTGGTGTATATTAACTTAGATACAAAAAGAAAGTCTTACATTCCTTTTCTTTATATCTTAAAGTTGAACACTGAACATTTTTTATTTTTCTTAAAAACACCCATTAAATTATTTTATCTAGATGTGATCTTTAATTAACTTCCTTCTCGAAAGCTGAAAGGAAGGCTAGGGAGGCTGGCAGGGAAGCCTTCCATTCTAAACCACCGAAGCCAAGATTCACGCTGACTCCCTGCCCTTCTCCTAACCTAACACAGCGCCACACACACATTTGGCACTCAGCAAAACACGTTCATTTGGATGCCCTCAGTGATATTCATGACTTCACAGCCACAATCAGCTACAGGCCTAAATTCACTAGTTTTTAATCAATTTATCTTTTAATAAGGACTAAAAGCTACACAGAAGGAAGTGGCTTACCTAAAAAGTTTTGAACAAGGCTGATGGTTATGGATTTCTGTAATCAGAAGGAGGAAATACATTTTAGTTAATCATGGAAGATACAAGCAACCATAAAATAGCCCAGCATCTTTTTTTTTTTTTTTAATTGAAGTCTGAGACAATAAAAACCTGGTTTTCCGCCCCTAAATAAATGCTGTGTGTACACTACTGAAGGCAGTACATATTCTTAATGTTTAACCTCAGGGACACGTTCTCAGAACAAAGTAAACTGGAAAGTGAAAGTTCTGTTTCTATTTGTCCAAATTTGATGAGCACACATCTGAAAGCTTTTATTCAGGAACACATGGCTATTGTGTAGCCTTATTCAATCTTACCTATTTAAACAAAGCATAAGAAGAAAAAGTAACTGACTGGAAGCATTTAATCACAGTGGATAAAAGCTGTGAGGACAGCTTCGGGATCGGAGGGCCTTAACCATCCTACCATCAATGACCTACTAAGAACTAACTCATGACAGCTTGAGCCAGGTGTTTTGAAGGGGAAGAGAGGAAACTGCAAGTCTATTAATTAACCCTTTCAACGATCATGAGCACTAACATAAGGCGGATCCTAAGAGTTCCTGAAAAGATTGCTGTGATTGACCACAGTAAACAGTTTCTTCAGGTTCATCATGGGGCTTAGGGTCTGGTTTGCTTTATAAGCCCACGAGACTAAGTAACCATTAAATTCTATTAACATTCTCCTGGACAGCAACTCATCACTCATCACCTGTTGTTTAAGAAGCCATGGCCACAGAGTTCCAGGCTGCAATTTTAACTCAATTAAAATGAAAGCATGGCTCTAAAGAACCTGGGGCTGTGCCCATTAGCTTCTGTAAATGTCAATGCTACCAAAGCACAAGCATAAATGCAAAACTTCCACAGGAAAAAAAATCCCATTTGCCTAGATACAGGGCTGTTGACATAGTGATGCAAATTAGAAAATCTCACATGGAAAAATTTTGTTTTTTTAATCACCAAAATTGATAGTTACACCAGCCCAATGAACTTCAGAGACACTATTAGTAAAATGATTAGAATGTGGAGTATTTGTATTGTAGCAAAGACATTACTGAGAATTCTGGGAAAAGTAGTTTTGTGTAAATCTAAATGAGAGAAGGTTCTCAGCTGCTGTGAGGCTTCGTTCAGAGGTAGCCATCTTGCATGACAATCCTTTGAAACAATCAAAGGGTAGGTGGGGGGCGCCAGAACCCAGAGATGCAGAAGGGACTCCAACAAGTTTTACCCCATCAAGATGCAGACTGCCTGCCCCCTCCACATGGGTTTGGGTTTGGGCACTGAGCATGATACAAGTTCCCAGGAGTTCTTGGATGCCAGGGGGTTGGGTGTTTGGGCGAGCCAAGAATGGAGAGGGGTCAGGGTGAAAGCTGCAGAGAACACACAGCAGGAGCAGCCAGGCACAGAGGGTTGGCAGGTGTTATAGGAAGAAGTGAAGACCAGTGAATTGTACTAGTACAGGCAGCCCTGGAAGGAAAGTATTGGCTTGGCTTCTGGGAAAGTAGAAGAATAGGGCCTCAGGGAGTTTTAAGAAACAGAGTTGAAATCATCGTAACAGCCATCAGAGAGAAGAGTTTGGGGCTGAGAAAGAAGACAAAGGCTTGGGTGGTACTTAGGGAGCAGAAATTTGGTGTGTGGGAGATCCTGGCCTTTTTCTCCCTCACCCTTCTGCCTCCACATGTCTCTTTGTCATTTCCTTTCTCCCTCCCTTTTTTGTTGTTGAAGTATAGCTGATATGCAATACTATTGGTTTTGGGTGTTCAACATAGTGATTTGGGAATTACATACATTACAAAATGCTTACCACAATAAGTATAGTTACCATCTGTCACCATACAAAGACACTAGAAAATTATTGACTATATCCCCTGTACACTTCATGACTTCCCCATGACTTAATTTATTTTATAATTGGAAGTTTGCTTTTTCTCTTTAAGTCTCTCTTTCCATTTCTTTTGTTGGTCATAACAAGCAATTGGTGTATATTAACTTAGATACAAAAAGAAAGTCTTACATTCCTTTTCTTTATATCTTAAAGTTGAACACTGAACATTTTTTATTTTTCTTAAAAACACCCATTAAATTATTTTATCTAGATGTGATCTTTAATTAACTTCCTTCTCGAAAGCTGAAAGGAAGGCTAGGGAGGCTGGCAGGGAAGCCTTCCATTCTAAACCACCGAAGCCAAGATTCACGCTGACTCCCTGCCCTTCTCCTAACCTAACACAGCGCCACACACACATTTGGCACTCAGCAAAACACGTTCATTTGGATGCCCTCAGTGATGTTCATGACTTCACAGCCACAATCAGCTACAGGCCTAAATTCACTAGTTTTTAATCAATTTATCTTTTAATAAGGACTAAAAGCTACACAGAAGGAAGTGGCTTACCTAAAAAGTTTTGAACAAGGCTGATGGTTATGGATTTCTGTAATCAGAAGGAGGAAATACATTTTAGTTAATCATGGAAAATACAAGCAACCATAAAATAGCCCAGCATCTTTTTTTTTTTTTTAATTGAAGTCTGAGACAATAAAAACCTGGTTTTCCACCCCTAAATAAATGCTGTGTGTACACTACTGAAGGCAGTACATATTCTTAATGTTTAACCTCAGGGACACGTTCTCAGAACAAAGTAAACTGGAAAGTGAAAGTTCTGTTTCTATTTGTCCAAATTTGATGAGCACACATCTGAAAGCTTTTATTCAGGAACACATGGCTATTGTGTAGCCTTATTCAATCTTACCTATTTAAACAAAGCATAAGAAGAAAAAGTAACTGACTGGAAGCATTTAATCACAGTGGATAAAAGCTGTGAGGACAGCTTCGGGATCGGAGGGCCTTAACCATCCTACCATCAATGACCTACTAAGAACTAACTCATGACAGCTTGAGCCAGGTGTTTTGAAGGGGAAGAGAGGAAACTGCAAGTCTATTAATTAACCCTTTCAACGATCATGAGCACTAACATAAGGCGGATCCTAAGAGTTCCTGAAAAGATTGCTGTGATTGACCACAGTAAACAGTTTCTTCAGGTTCATCATGGGGCTTAGGGTCTGGTTTGCTTTATAAGCCCACGAGACTAAGTAACCATTAAATTCTATTAACATTCTCCTGGACAGCAACTCATCACTCATCACCTGTTGTTTAAGAAGCCATGGCCACAGAGTTCCAGGCTGCAATTTTAACTCAATTAAAATGAAAGCATGGCTCTAAAGAACCTGGGGCTGTGCCCATTAGCTTCTGTAAATGTCAATGCTACCAAAGCACAAGCATAAATGCAAAACTTCCACAGGAAAAAAAATCCCATTTGCCTAGATACAGGGCTGTTGACATAGTGATGCAAATTAGAAAATCTCACATAGAAAAATTTTGTTTTTTTAATCACCAAAATTGATAGTTACACCAGCCCAATGAACTTCAGAGACACTATTAGTAAAATGATTAGAATGTGGAGTATTTGTATTGTAGCAAAGACATTACTGAGAATTCTGGGAAAAGAAAAATTCATCTTTTACTTTAAAGGAAAGAGTATTTTGCTTAAGCAAATCCCTAGAGTAAATTCTTAACTCTGAACACACACTCCTGTCATCAACCCACCCCAGCAGACTTCTTTCTCATTTACAATCGGGATTAGAAGCACACAAAGATATGCTCTAGACATGCGGCATTTTCAGAAGGAAGTTGCAGCTTTCCGTCGTAAGACGTTCTGCAATACCTAAGCACTCCACAGAGAAAGCAGGGTGATGGTCTCAAACGGGATAAAGCTCCAGTTCGGAACGGAGCCGGCAGGCGCACTGGCTGACCGGCAGCGTGGGGAAGCAGGTAGAAGCACGGCAGCCTGGCCTGGGAGTCTAGCGTTTCCCGGGCCTCAGGAACTCATCCAAACAGTGGACCACCCCCCACCCTTACTGTAAGGCGTCTCTGCGCTCACAGTTCCCCGCTGGGGCTTACTGCTCCTCCTCGCAGTGGGGAGCTGAACGGCTCCTCTCCGTCCCCCTCCGTTCTTCCCAATGGCTGCGACTGAGTCATCGCATCAACCAAGGAAGCTATAGCTCTTTTGCTGTCTCCTCCCTACCACACCCAGAACTAAGGGTGGACAGCTCTGCTGAAGGGAGCTAGCACAGCATGTAAATTAATACGTATTCCAAACAAGACACAGATACTTCATGTTCAAGTGTGATGACCTATATGAGATCTCCATATTATATTGAGTAAGGTGAAGTGTCTGTGCATGGATTCAGACATTCCGACAAACAGTAAGTGTGGTAAATTTCTTTTATTCAAAACATCTTAATTCTAGAGGTTAAGCTATGCCAGAAAATTTCCCCATGATACCACTCATGGCACTTTACCTAATGTTTGGCCTTGCAGTCAATCCAGGTTTTCCACAATCCCTGGTTTACATTTTCTAATATGTATATATTTTTAAAAGACAGCTAGTACAGTGATAAAAAAGCACTTCGGTTAACACCAGCAAACACTTTGTCCATGAGATCCATAATCATTTCAGACAATGAATTGAATATAGCTAATAAATTAAACATTGTACAGCAAAAGATGGCTGTCATGGCACTGTACTAATGGGACTCTCTATTGACTGGCACTTCCCCAGATCTACAATACCATGGAAACTGGTATTTACTGCAAGAAACAGAAAGTTTATGAATCAAAGATACAGTACATTATACTGTAGAATTTTAATTACTTACCATGCTATTTCTTTACAAATGAGTAAAAGCCAGTATAGCCATCAGAAATGCTATTTCTGTGATTATGCCAAGTTAAGAGAGCTCTTTCTTGCATGGCTTGCATGGTCAGTTAATCATATCTGGCATTTTAACCTGCACATACCAAATTAGTTCTGAAAACTCAAGTGCAAACAATAAATTGCAGAGATGTCCAATGAAACCAAATTCTCTACTTCAGGATTTTAAAAAGTTGAGCAAAACAAAAACCAAAAACAAAACCCCAGAATAGCTTTATCCAGTCTAAGTCTTTATTTAATAAGGCACTATTGCGGGGAGTGGATTTTGTAGTTTGGGTCCTTTATGAAACAGTTCAGTTTCTTGGGTTCCCCCAGTCCTAACTCCACCTCACTCCTCACCCTAGCCTTCCAGCCTGTGCACCAGAAGGCTCTCAGAACAGGCCTGAAATCGATTTGGGCCCCACATAACTTCACCTTCCAGCAGTATTTCAAACCACAAATCACCCACCTTCCCACAGTCTGTAGTTTAGTCACATCGAAACAGGCCAGGTTCTTTATGTGTTTTAGGCACTCCTTGCTCTGTATTTCCTTGAATGTACTGCCCACTGGCCCTAAGTTCACCCCCTTCATGACATCTGTACTGATCTGAAGCACTAGCGGTTTTTTCTTCAACTTATGCGACGTCCTTTGCTCCTTTCTTACAGCACTGGCCCCCGACTGCCTGGTGGTCCCGTGCACTTGTCTCATCCTTCCCACACTCCTGGGAAGCACAGCTCCGTCTGGAAAGTCCTCTCACTACCCAGCAATGCCTCACACATGGAAATTCTTCATTAAATATTAGTTGCATAAATGAAGAAATGTCCCTTACTTTGTTCTGAGTATCAGGATATGCTGTTTGGTGAATATGCCTGAGGTGCAGCTGAGAGGACTATGGCCCCTATCTAGCAAGAGGAGACTGATCCAAAGAGAGTGGGTGCACCTACATACTCCATCTTTCTCAGCAACCTTCCCCATATTGACTGTTTGGCTTATTCCTCAGTAGGCCGTGTAGGTTTAGCAACTATCTCATGTAAATGAGCATGAACATTTTTGCCAGATCCCTCCAGCATGGACCAGCACACCCATGCTTTCACTGTAGTTGGAGGTGATGCTGACAATGGGGACAGCCCAAAATGCAAACTTGAGGTGCATTGTGGTTGTGAAGAAACCACCAGGCACGGCAGCACACAGCAGTCCAATGGAAGTCGGACCACTTAGTAGGTGAACGGTGGCTTTATCAAATACCTAAATTTATAGCTATGTGCTGTAAGGTTACACTGACTCATAAAAACCTTCAGTACAAATAATTTGCTTTGTGATTTTACTGGTTTTTCATGTATTCTTTTAATCTCTTAAGATTAAAATCAATTAAGGATCAAAGAACAAAACAAACAGCATAGATACAAAAAGCATTTCTAAGCTCAGGGATAAACTCACTTACCAATTACTTGCAGAAATTCTGTGTTGCTGATTTGTGAGTCACTGATGCTAAAGGTTTCCTCTTGTCTTACCTCTCCCAGCAAAAATCCTTCCTAAAAGTAATAAAAGAAAATCGTTGCAGACTAAAAACAAGAAAGAGCTTTGCTGGAATTAAGTTGGATTGATGATACTAAAGTTTTATAATAACTTTAGTAATAATCCCAATAAGCTTGTCATGTAAATTATTCTATAAATCAACAAGCCATCTGCGATGTATCTATTAGATGGATTGTTCAAAAAAAGGATTCCATAACAAAATGAAATATTTTCATCTCTCCCCCTGAAAAAATATGTATTTTTGAAGTAAAAACGAATAGAATGAATTCACCACCTAAATCCTACTAGGTGTAATAAGCAACATCAAAACAGCTCAGGAAGCATAAATAGTCCAAGGTTGTTTTCCTGAAACAGCATACAATTTATTTCATTGTTTTTAAAGAACTGTTTATGATAAAAGGATAAAGAAGTTAACATTGCACAAGTAATTGCTCTTGTATAGGCTGGCATGGGAAATAAGGATTTCAGCAAATAAATTTATCACTTTAACTTTTTCTTTAATAAAATGTTGATGGAATTTACACCTTTAGAGAACATATACCACCATCATCATTTCTGGATTTCTCAGCATATAAACTACTGTTTTAAGTACTTGTGGCCATGCTCAGCAAGAGCACAGGTGGAGAATATATACTCCAAATGTCAACATAATTTCCCTGCAGAGAGTGAATGACAGGCTGTCCTGGAATCTCCCTCCCCACATACTCACGTGGTTTACTCCTTCCCTCTATTCTACTCGTTTACTCAAATGGCACCTTATCAGAGAGGGCTTCTCAGGCCAGGATATCAGAAACCGGGTCTGCCAGACACTGGCCTTTTACCCCGCATTCTCTTTCTTCGTATTCTTCTCACTATCCACCATATTCATATTTATATAAATAAATAAATGCCTACTCCTACACGAAAATGTAAGCTTTACGAGAGCAGGAACTCTGTGCTTGTTCATTGTTCCATCTTACCACCTAACACAGTGCCCAACAGAGGAGGTACTCAATAAATACTGGTTGTACAAATTTATTGAATTTGTGCAATATATAGTCCAAGGGCAATTTGTACAATAATCCAAATAAGCTTGCCATGTAAATTAAATAAGGGGGGGGTTGTGGTTGCCAGTACATTGTGGTGAATTCATTCTACTTATTTTTACTTCAAAAAAACATGTTTTTGGAGGGGGAAGAGATGAAAATATTTCATTTTGTTATGGAATCCTTTTTTTGAACAA